GGACTCCTGGCCAGTCCATCCAAATCCTAAAGGAGAACCCAGGTAGCAACCTTTTCGACCTTAGCCGCAGCAACTTCTTCCTAGAAACATCGCCAAAGGCACGGGAAGCCAGGGCAAAAATGAACTATTGGGATTTCATCAAGATAAAAAGCTTTTGCACAGCAAAAGAAACAGTCCACAAAACCAAAAGACAACCGACAGAATGGGAGAAAATATTTGCAAACGACATATCAGATAAAGGGCTAGTATCCAAAATCTATAAAGAACTTGTCAAACTCAACACCCAAAGAACAAATAATCCAATCAAGAAATGGGCAGAAGACATGAACAGACATTTCTCCAAAGAAGACATCCAAATGGCCAACAGGCACATGAAAAAGTGCTCAACATCACTCGGCATCAGGGAAATCCAAATCAAAACCTCAATGAGATACCACCTCACACCCGTCAGAATGGCTAAAATTAACAAGTCAGGGAACGACAGATGTTGGCGGGGATGTGGAGAAAGGGGAACCCTCCTACACTGTTGGTGGGAATGCAAGCTGGTGCAACCCCTCTGGAAAACAGTCTGGAGGTTCCTCAAACAGTTGAAATTAGAGCTACCGTTCGATCCAGCAATTGCACTACTGGGTATTTACCACAAAGATACAAATGTAGGGACCCGAAGGGGTATGTGTACCCCAATGTTTATAGCAGCAATGTCCACCATAGCCAAACTGTGGAAAGAGCCAAGATGCCCATCGACAGATGAATGGATAAAGAAGATGTGGTATATATACACAATGGACTATTATGCAGCCATCAAAAGGAATGAGATCTTGCCATTTGCAATGACGTGGATGGACCTGGAGGGTGTCATGCTGAGTGAAATAAGTCAATCAGAGAAAGACATGTATCACATGACCTCACTGATATGAGGAATTCTTAATCTCAGGAAACAAACTGAGTGTTGCTGGAGTGGTGGGAGGTGGGAGGGATGGGGTGGCTGGGTGATAGACATTGGGGAGGGTATGTGCTACGGTGAGCGCTGTGAATTGTGCAAGACTGTTGAATCACAGATCTGTACTTCTGAAACAAATAACGCAACATATTTTAAGAAAAAAGGAAAAGAAGAAGATAACAGGAGAGGAAGAAAAGGGGAGTATGTCAGAGGGGGAGACGAACCATGAGAGATGATGGACTCTGAAAAACAAACTGAGGGTTCTAGAGGGGAGGGGGGTAGGGGGATGGGTTAGCCTGGTGATGGGTATTGAGGAGGGCACGTTCTGCATGGAGCACTGGGTGTTATGAACAAACAATGAATCATGGAACACTGCACCAAAAACTAATGATGTAATATATGGTGATTAACATAACAATAAAAAATTAAAAAAAAAAAAGAGGAGTCCTGGCCGACAGGAGGACATCCGGAGCTGCGGCTCCCCTCAAGAGGAGTCCTGGCCGACAGGAGGACATCCGGAGCTGCGGCTCCCCTCAAGAGGAGTCCTGGCCGACAGGAGGACATCCGGAGGGTGTTCCTGAGGATGGGATGAATGGGACAAGGGGAAAACGGGGAAAGATCTAGAAACCATGGCTCTTACGGAAAGGTTGGAAGAGCTGGGTACAGGGCTTAGGGGAACCCTAATGATTGGCTCCCTGCTGGCCGAGGATCCGTCCTCTCAAAGGGGTTATATTCATGCTGCACTGCTCCCAAGAGCAGGCATTTTAAGGAGGGGAAAGATGTCAGCTTGACACAACAGTGCCCACTCAAGCATTTGAAGGAGTGTTGTGCATCACAAGTAGCGAGGTCCCCGTCACTGTCTAGGGACCATCTATTGAGCTGGCATGCAAAGAAACCTTCCAGTGTGTAATAGATGGGACTAGATGAACCTTTCCCACTAAGATTTATGATGTTATGCCATTCTCTGCCTTGCTTGTCCAGAAGCCATTCACAGGAAAGGAGAGAGCATGGAAACCAAAGGGCTGGGAGATGTTTTTTGACTTAAGTGATTTAGAGTATAAACTTGGTAAGCATTTATTGAGCACCTCCAATATGCAGGAGACTGTGCTTCATGCTCTGGGGAGAGGAAGAAAGAGAGGTGGGGGGGATGGGTAGGAAGCCACATCCAGTCCTTAAGGAGCGCTCGGGAAAGTAGAGATGTCCACACACATGAGCAAGGTGGACTGCAGTATCCTGGGGGGCAGAGAAATGGGTCCCAGGGCTGACCTGGGAGAGCAGGGCAGACTCCATGCAGGGGATGCTCTGTGAAGGGGGCCTGGAAAGGGTTGGCGATTCCAAGACTGGGGCAAAGTGAACATGTTTTCCTGCGGGGAGCAGAAAATACAGGACAGCTTGCCTTTCCCCAGTGGTGACCTGGGCAGGGAGGGTGTGCTGGGGGAGAAGGTCAAGGAGGCGGGGTCAAGAAGGGAAAGCCTAGGACGCCATGCGGGGGGGGGGGGGCTCCAGAGACTCGAGGCTTTTATGCAAAGGAGAGACATGGCTGGGTGTTTGTCAGAAGAAGGTGCTCATAGCAGCATGCATGTGGCACTGGATGGAGATGGGGGACAGGTGGGGGGACCCAGGCGAAAGGCCAGGACCTGCGGGCCTGGGACCAGGAAGGAGGCAAATGGCCAAATGATGTTGCTATACTGATCGATGGTTGCTCAGATATGGAAGCTAGGAAGCTAAGGGGTGCTGCTTAGCAATGCCTGGAGTCTTTTTTGTTGTCACAGCTTTGGAAAGGGCCACTTCTGACAGCTGTTAGGTGAAGGCAAAGGATGCTGCTGAACATCTTACAATGCACAGGACGGGCCCTGCTGCCCCCAACAAAACATTGCCCTGCCCAAAAGGTCAGCAGTGCCCAGGCAGAGCGTGTCTCTTCCTTCCTTCCCATAGTGGCGTAGTGCGCTTGAACAGGGGGTCACCAGCAGGTCTTTTTCGCTTCTCGTCTTCAGTTGAATGCTTCCTCCACGGACCAGTGTGTCCCACCGCCTCTGCTGAAACCCTTGTCCACACTCCTCACGCACCCTCACTTTGCCTTGCCACCATAGAAGAACACCACGGAGGCACGAAGGAAACGAGTCTGGGTGTGAGCAGCGCAAGCTGTCCAGGCTTGAGATTGCGTTCTGCCTCCCCGGACTCACAGGGATGGACCGGGTATTGAAGGTTTCCGTGTTGTGCATGTGTGCGATTGCTGCCCTGATCCTCAATCTAGATTTCAGATGTTTGTCGAGGAAAAGAATTGATGTGACAGTAGCTTTGATCCTAACCTCGTCCCCTCTGATGGTCGGTCCCCAGAGGTGTCAGATGCAGGGAGAGAGCCTGGCTGGTGGTCTGAGCTCTTCCCAAGGTTACTGAGTTTGTTCCTGTAGGGGGAAAAGGAATGTTTATGACTATTTTGGCAGCTGTTGGCTTAGGTTCAAAACTCATATTTGATGTAACATGTCATCCTTTTGGTATTCGAAAATTAAATTTTGACGTTAGAGTTTTGAATCACTCTTACTTATAAACGTAGTCTCGAACTCATCGTTCCGCTGTGAACGGGATCTGCCACGTGCGCGCGCGCACGCGTGTGTGTTTTCCCATCACTTCTCACATCTTGAACGATTTCCCCACCCGTTCGGGGGAAATGTACAGTGCGCCCTCCCGGTCTGTACGAAAGCCGCATCTGTGAACTGTGTTCCCGCGGCGCCCAGCCACGAGCCGGAGAGCCGCCCGAGAGCCGCCCGAGAGCCGCGCGCGCTGCTGGGAGAGCCGCCGGAGAGCCGCCGGAGAGCCGCGCGCGCTGCTGGGAGAAGTCAGCCGCTTCGCAAGCTGTGGGCAGGCCCCAAACTGTGTCCTATTTAAAGCGGCCGCACCGGGGCGCAGCGGCAGCCTCACAGGGTCCGGGAGCAAGCACCACGTGCCTAACTCCGAGCGGAGATTACTGTCGGAGGGTTTCTTTAACAGTTTCCAAAATAGAAACGGAGTCTTTGTTTTTGTTCACAAAGAATAATCAAGAATGCATTGGAAACATGTGCATCAAGAGGTCGAACGTGAAAGCGCAGACTTGGTCCGCGGCGCGGCCCAGAGCCGAATCGCTGAAAAGCGTTTCCGACTGTTGCCTGACGGAGTCGGCCGCGGAATAGCCGTGTTTATACAGCGGGCTTGGTAGTGACAGGGTTCACGTGCTGGAAATGTTTGTGGCACCCCCCCGCCCCCCGGCTCCAACTCCACTCCCCCTTGCGAGCCTCCCTGCGGTCTTATGAAAGACTTTTTACATTTAGCACGGAGCACTTCTGTCAGAACACAGCGGTCCTCCGCTGCGAGGGTCAGGGCACAGCGCTTTCCTTCCGGCGGCAGTCGCAGCAAGTCCGCGGGGGTCAAGAGCAGGAGCGGGGTCCCCGCGGCAGCGCGCTCAGGAGCCAAACCAGCAGGGCTTGTCCCCGCGCCGGGAGATCTGCGCACAACCCCTTGGTGTGCGTTCAGGGACCGCGTGGAGCGGAGAGGGCCTAGTCGGCAGACTAAAGTTTTATAAGGTTTCATAAACTTTCATTCTTTTTCTCTCGAACCACGAACATGTGAATATCTCCGCGTCTTTTGCATCTGAGGATGATACAAGGAATGGTTTTTAAAATGATAATATCTTACAAATCAGCAAACATACCATTTGTTGTTCTGTCCGATTTGCTTTTTTAAATGCAGTAATTGTACATTTTTCTTTTTAAGAAACAATTAGGGTGAACAGAACATTTCCAATCAAAATCTAGTTTGAAGATTAGTGCATGTTTGCTTGGCACTCATTCACCTTGTTTTAGAGTTTATTTTTCAAATTACTGCTTTCAAGAGATGGAAATTACTCTTTATTTCATTGCATGGCAAGAAGGAGAATAAAGCATTAGAGTGCCCTCTCTTGCACAGAATGAACATGAAAATATTTAAAATAATCAAGGCTCTGAAATGTAATAATCCCTTCCCAGAGATGTTTCAGTGCATCCCTTCACTAATTCAGTAGGATGGTCAGAGCGGGAGCAGTAAGTAGTACAAGCATGAGTTCTCTTTTCTGAATCACATTCATTTATGTGTTCAGTTCTCCAACCCACTTTATAGATAGATTATCTTGCCTGCGATGATGTTGTGTACGCCTTAGAAGTTAAACTAGGATTCACCATTTTTTAGGCACATCTTGCTATAAGAAAACTCAATCATGTACATATATCCCTTCTTTAATTTTCAAATTAAATAAGACCAGGATTTTGTAATTGGCATGTGTACTAGTCTGTTTTAATAAGATTTCCTTTAAAAGCCAGCTTCTCCAGGGTTTTAACAATAGGGTTAAGAATAGGAATAACTTCCTTATTAATTTCTCGAATGATTGCTGTATCACATACCTGTTGTACACCACTGTGGTCTTGGCCGCGACCAGCATACATGGCGTCTGTCTGTTCCCTTCGTCATTTCTGTGAAGTAGGGGGCCTTGTGCCCATCGACGGATGAGGAAATCGAGACTGACGGTTTCCGTGACCGGCCCGCAGCCGGTAAACACCCCTGTCACAACCTTGAACGCAGGTCTGCTGACTCCTACATTTGGGGCTCTCCATAAGTAAAACGGGGGAAAGCAGCTCTCAGAACTGGAGGACCTGGAGGACACAGGGTTCATTTATGTCTGTTATCATCAAAGGAAGGTATCGCCTAGTTACCAGTGGGGGAGGCGTGTTCATCTTGGTTGTGTTTTGGTTGCACCTCAGTTCTTTGGGTTGTTTAAGAAACTAATATCCATTTTTCTAAAAAGAAAAAAAAAAAGATAAAATTGTATGAAAGTCATTATCTCAAACACTAACCTGACAAATGTTATATAAATGGCCTTCATTTTCATGACTACCGGCTGGCTGATTGTTTTCTTTTTAAGGATATTTTAAAATATCACTGGGAATATATTTGCTGAAGCATATTTTAGTACCATGATTTCACTGACGTGAGGATCAGACAGTTCAAGTGAGCATAAGCAACCCCCCTCCCTCAGACACTAATGTACCCCAACACCAGCCTTTCTCTGGACACGGTAAATGTGTACGGCTTTTGTATTTCTATAGTTTTTGATGAACAGTAACAGAATACGGTAGAGTACTCAGATATGAGCCAGGGACATGCGCAAAGTGACCCGATACCACATTGTCACAGGATGCTGTTCATTTCCACAGGCACAGCCCTTTCAGACAACACAAAACCAAAGACAAGCATGAGATAGACCGAATGACCCTCACCGTGGTAAGGAGATTGAAAACTCTGTGCTTTGGTGGTTTTTTTTTTTTTTTAAGATTTTTTTTTCTTTTATTTTTTTTAGTAATCTCTACCCACAACATGGGACTCGAACCTACAACCCCAAGATCAAGAGTCACATGCCCCACCGACTTAGCCAGCCAGGCGCCCCTAAAAACTCTCTTCTTACTTGCATTATAATTTTCACGTCTCATTCCATTAACAACCAGTGTAAAAATTTGCTTTCTTAAAAACAAATGAGCGGAGATACAGTTCCTAGAATTCCTAACTGGCAGTTTAGTGGAAATAGATGCCAAGGCAGAAATCAAGGTTTGTCACCCGTCAGTAAGAAAGAGATCCAGAAAATCAAAAACTAAAGTAAGGAGATCAAAGAAAAGGAAAAATCGCTGAGGCGCAGAAGAGTAGGGAGACCTGTTTCTCTGGACCTGGCCCCAGACTATTGATTGGCATTAAAAATGACTAGTAATCTGTGTTGCCTGGCTGGCTCAGTTGGTGGAGCGTGCAACTTGATCTTGGGGTTGTGAGTTCAAGCCCCGCGTTGGGCAAAGAGATTACTTAAAAGAAAAAAGGAAAGCGACTAGTACAGTTTCATGTTTCCTTAGAGTAAATATTAATTCACGATGAATCTGCAGTTTTTAACACTGTCCTTTTCCAAGAAATGGCCTTTAGGTCTGGTTGGGCATCAGGGCCCTGTTTGCAGGAGGGCATCTTTGAAATCAATTTGTTTTTTCCTCCCCCAGAACGTGGAACTCCCAGAGGCCTTCTCGCCGGAACTGCGGTCCCTCCTAGAAGGCCTGCTCCAGAGAGATGCCAGTAAGCGGCTCGGCTGCCACGGAGGCGGGTAGGCTGTTATTTTAGCTCTTGAGGATCGTCACCCGGGGCACCTAACAGTTAGTTCCAGTACATCACAAATCATTCCTAGCCCCTAAAAATCTCCTATCTTGACCGGGGGCGGGGGGGTGGGAATCACATGGGAAATATGTGTGCTGTCCTTTGTGTTTTGTAATTAATGACTTGAAGGAGTCGCTAACTTTTTAACTTTAAAAAAATCGAGCATGTTGATGGTGGAAATGAATCCTGATATTTCGCAGTTCATTTGGTGAAGTTTTACTAATTAGGTTTGCAGTGATGGCAGGTCAGTATCCTGATCAGTTTCTTACTGGTTTTCTCTCACGAGTAACTGGCAGGCTACTGTCTTATACTTGCTTTCTATCTGCTAGATATCGAGAATGCCTTCCTGTAATCCTCAAACTTGACTGATATTTTGACTGGATACAGAATTCTAAATTGATAATGATTTCCCCCCAGAACTTTGGAGATATTTTGCTTTATTGTGTGCAATAAAGCTGGTGATGGAGCCCAGTTATCACTCCTCATGTCAGGCACTGATAGTTCCTTGTACTGTGGAGGCCTATTTTCTTGAGCTTGGGGAATACTGTTATTTTTTTTATTTGACAGTCCCTCTCCTCCATTTCCTTGGTTAGCTCGTAGAACTCCCTTTAGGTGGCTGTCAGATTTTCTAGAATGGTCATCAATGCTTCTGACCTTGTGTATTCCCTGTATCTTCGCTTTGATTCTGTTCTACTTTCTGTGGGCTTAAATCTCTAGTCCCTCCTTTGATTGCTTTTTAAAATCTTTAGCAGGCTTAATTTCTTCAAAACAGAACCTTTCAGAGGTTCCCCCCACGCCATTAGAATAAACACGTAGCTGCAGGCATTTTGGGGTTGGATATGGAGGAAGACAGTATGGTGTGTGCATGTGCGCACGTACACGAAGAGTTCAGGCTGTCTTCAGCCCATGTGTCCCCCTCCCACCTCCTGCACCCCACTCCACACACACGGCGTTGAGCCTGGAGCTCAGCATCTCTGTCCCCCGGCCAGTAGCTGTGCCATTTCCTGCCAGCAATCATGGCTCCTGCGTCCACACCCATCCTGTCTGCTGATGGTTCCCCATTCCTCTTTGTGGTGCATTTATGTCTCCGTGTTCCTCTTCCATCATTTCAGTGATTGTTGGGAAGGAACAAATGCAGAACACAAAGGGACACCCTTTGCTTTAGATTTCATTCGTTCATTCAGTAAACACTTACTGAGCATGCCCTGAGTGTCAGCCACCATCCTGACGGCTGGGGCTGAGGCAGTTACACACAGGTCGACACAGCCCTGCTGTCTTGGAGCTTATATTGGTTGGGGGTGAATGACATTATAGAAACGATCCAGTAAGTAAGATGACCTCAGACCGAGAGAAGAGCGTGAATGAGATAAATAAGGCAGTGTTGTCATTGAGACTCCAGCCTTGGGAGGAGAGAGGGAAGGACCCCAGGCAGAGGGGTCAGTGAGGGTAGGGCTTTGAGGGGGAAGTAAGCTTCCACGAGGCAGAAGAGCAAGAAGGCTGGAGAGCCAGGAGAGGGAGGTCAAGAGCAGGTCGGAGAGGTGGTGGGCTCAGGCAGGTCCTGTAGGTCGTGTCCCTGGACTTTGCTATAAGTGCAACAGGAGGCCTCTGGAGAATCTTAGGCAGGGGTGTAGGGAGATGGTTTGAAAAGATGATGTGGGCATGGCATGGGGCCGGTGGGGCTGTGGGCTGTGTGGCTGGGGGGCAGGCTGGCGCAGGGGGGCAGTTAGGGCCATTCAGGGAGCAGGGTGGGGACCTGGACGGTGGCAGTGGTGGCGGGACATTTAGCGTTCCCTTCATGATCAAAGACCCTGCCGCCCCCACTGGGAATTGGATCTCGGTGAGGATTGGAGGCAGTAAGTCAGCCCAAGGACTTGCCGAGGGGTGGGCTGTGGAATGTAGGGGTTAGTGGGGGCATTGGGGGTGATCTGGCTCTTTGGCCTTAGACAACAAGGTGTGGGAGTAATGCAGGAGTTCTACAGACCTCTCGCTCCATCAAGTGGAGATGCCGAGTAGGCGCTGGGCGGGTGGGCCTCCTGGTGTGCAGGACGAGGTCGGCACTTGGGACACAGATCTGAGAGCTCGTCTGCAGGTACGGGTCACTTAAAGGCCTGGCAGAGTGAGGTTACCCAAGGAGCGATAGCAGAGGAAGGGGGCCAAGAACCAGCCCTTGGGGCTCTGCCGCAGGAGACAGGGCTGGGGGACCCGGGGCAGGCCTTGGGGCAGAGTCCTTGGCAGGCACGGCGACCATGCGCTTTCCCCCGGTAGGCTTTCCTCCTGGTATACAGCCCCTTCTCTTCCGCAGAAACTGAGCTTTAAGGGTGGTCTCCAGGAAAACTTGTTTCTTCAGTTTATGAGGAGGTTTGGCATAGGCTGTGTTCCTAGATTTGTAGTTTGCTTCTGAATTAATATTTGGTACTTCATATGCCTACCGTTTGATCTAACATGCCTCATAGACATTTGCTGAACATCTCCTCACTGTGGAGATCTCTAATTTGCTTCTTATTTGAATTTGTTCTCCTGGCAACAGAATCCTGTGTATCTGTCTGTCTGTGACAACTCCTAGGTTCTCTCAAACTGGAGTATGTGTCCCCGATAAATTACCATATGGGATAATATTCCTAGCTTCCGCATACAATATTTCTAAACATCCAGTGTTTCCTGTGTTGCTTTGAAAGAAGCATATTTTACTTGCTTACTTAAAGAACTGAAAATGGTCGTTCCTCTGTTCTTACTAGGAGACCGTTTTTGGAAAATACTCCTTAGGTTTGCATACGTACCCTTACCACCTTTGTGCCTCTTCCGCAGGGCACAAGAAGTAAAGGAACACATCTTTTTCAAAGGCATCGACTGGCAGCAAGTCTACTTACAGAAGGTACTCTGTCTGGAACCGCACGCTGGGCACCACCACCTCCATGCTCCGTCTTGTCCCCCACTTCCTGGGTCCACTCCCCAGCGCCCCGCCCCGAGCCCCGCCCCCCAGCTCCCCAGACTGCCCCTGTTCTTCTACCCATGGGCTGCCATTGCTGCCAACTCCCTCTGGGCTGACTTTTCTGTTTCCCTAGTTTAAAAGTTTTCAAAATATCTGCAGTGTACATTAATAAATACCGAAACGGAGTTGTTATCTAATTCAAATGTCCCTATAACTGAGATGTTTTTAGCTTTCACTCATCTTTTTGACTTCCTGTCTTAGTCAGTGACTGTATTTTCATAAAGACCTTTATAGAAATGTACGAGAAACATGGGTCACAAATTTACATATACTTTCTCTAACCCAGCACCATACAACTTAAGGATCGGTATGATTGGATAGCAACAGAATCCATTCTTCCCTTATTTTAAGATATTTTTTTATATTCCCATGAGTACAGGAAAACACCCCAAATTAAAGGGCTTTTTAAAATGTGGATCAGCCTTGGATTCGTTTTTGCATCATCTCCCGCAGTGGAGGGATGATGCTCTGTTAGTCCCGCCCGCTGTGAACCAGAGAGTGGGCTCCAGCTTCGTTGGCATCGGCTGGGCACCTCTGTGGGTGTGCAGTGCTCCCTCCCGCCTCCCCGCACATTAAGGCTCCAGCAAGTGCAGTGTGGTGCCCTGTTGTCTGAGACGTGGTGTTTTCCTAAAGTTGAGCTGGCGGGATGTGCAGTCTTGAGACTTCATTATATTCAATCATGCTTTAAGACCTTGGACGTGAATCTTTTTTTCCCCCCCCTGAAGTTTCTCTAAAATCTGGGGTCTTCTTTAAGGGCTGTTCCATGCCCAGGCTCATCTGTGAAAGATGTGCTGTGATGTGTAGGAGCTCGGCTGGAATGCTCAGCTTGCAGCACACTGGTACTCACAGTGTTCTCACTATAGAGCCGTAGGTCGGGATGGGCCATAAGGTGATCTGATAACTGAAGCATGCTTCTTTGGATCTTCCAGTACCCTCCACCCTTGATTCCTCCCCGGGGAGAAGTCAATGCTGCTGACGCCTTTGACATTGGCTCATTTGATGAAGAGGATACCAAGGGCATCAAGGTACACATGTGATGTTCACCCTGGGTGTTTTGGAGGGTGGGGAGACTTTTTATTGGCTGTCAAACTGAGTGATTGTCTTAGCATTGGCCTGCTTGTGGAATGTAACTTACCAGTGAATACCTATATATTTGAAGAATATAGAAGTCAAGGGCCTAAATTAGAAACGATAAAAGCTTTCTGTGGACTACTCATTTTATGTTTGACCAACTGGTAAGTGGTCAGTTTCTTACAGATTTGGATATATTTGTGATTGGAATAGAACCCGAACTTATATGAGGCAAAGAAAAAACAACTGTGTGACAGCAAACACACTTTGCCATGTGCCAAAGAGCCAGTCATCTTAATCCTTTTACGTATTCAGATCTCTCTGTGTTAGGATGAAAAGAGCAAACAGCATGAGTCATTTTGCATTTGTCAATCAAAAGTGAAATAATCACTGTGGTTTTTTTTTTATATATAATTCTCTGCATTTTTCAAACTTCTGTTCATATCATTATGTTTCCCAGTAGACAAGGCATAATTACAGACGGTGAGTCATGAGGGAAAATCATCCTCCTCAGGCTGCTAAGTCAGAGTGTATCACTACATGCCGGGCTCACATCTGCCCCCCACCTTCTCAGCATCCCCCAGGACCTCCCCATCCTTTCTCAGCTGCCTCATTATACCCTGGTTGTGTAAGCCCGCCCTCACTTTTCCTACCAGGCAGCTCCCCCTCCAGAAGGCTGCAGCACTGTAAGCACACACACCTGTGAGGAGCCGTGGCCAGGGACACACAGAACTGGAACCAGCGGGGCCTGGAGACAGAAGTGGTGGGTGAGCGGCTGGGGAGGAGGGAAGCAGCAGGAGACCAGGCACATTGGGACTCGAGGAATGGCAGCTGGTTGGAACTGGCAGTGTCAGGAAGGAGGGGCGATCGGGGTGCTCCCAGGACGGGAAGCTGAGGCAAAGAAGAGGTGGAGAGGGCCGAGGCCACTTCTGTGGTCTGGCGCAGTGGCTCCCCCAGGGGCCGTGGTGCGTCCAGTGCTGCGATGTGCGCGCCTCCAGGCGTGGTTTGCAGCCTGGAGAGACAGCCCGTGGCGGGTTGTAAGTACTGCTGTGCAGCCCTGCTCCGGGCAAAGACCATTCACAACGTCGCTTCAAAGGATTACTGTTGTCACAATAGAATTTTGTCAGCAGAGGTACTACCGTCCACGAAAGGGTGCTAAAAATGAAGTGGCTGTGATGTGGGAGCCCACAGATATTTTTGATGTTAAAAAGAGATTTCTCATACTTTAAATTTTGTAAACCATAATCACGGCTCTGGAGTCAGACAGACTGGGCTCAAATCTGCCCTTATTTGCTGGGTGACTTCGGGTAACCTCTCACGCCTTGGTTCTGTCACCTGTGACTGGTTTTGACGCCCAGATCTCTGTGAGGTAGAAGAGAGAGCCGCTTTAAGCCTCCTGGCCTGTCTTCCATGCTTAAGCTAGGAGGTTTTGTCAATGTGGTTTTCATTCTTCATGACCAAGAGCCGAGGATGAGCACGCTCAGAACAAGGAGGGGCGTGTGGCCAGGGGCCCAGCGGGAAATGAGGAGCCTGGGACAGCCTTGTCCAGCTAGAGGGTCTGCATCTTAAGAAACCATGTATTCTTTACCTTTAAAAAAAGCAGCCCAAATTATACACTGTTCTTTAAAAAACAACAAAAACAACAAAAAAGTGCACCTCAGATAAGTACAAATTTTCTTCTTTGTTTTATTCATTTTTAACAACTTTTGCTAAGTCCTAAAAAGTCAAGGCTCTCTGAAATTCTAGGAAGTAGAACGGTTTGTATACAAAGCAGAGTTGGCCCTTTCCGAGCAACTGCTTTGGAAAGGAGTGTTTTTACTTTTGGCAAACCCTTCAGAATCCATCCCGGGTCACAGGGTGACCCTGTGGCCTGGTGCACTAGCACCCCACCCCACCACACACACAAACAGACACACACACGCACATTCACGCGCCGCTGGGCACGCGCCCCCAGCATTCAGGCTCTGAGCCACTGAGGATTTCAGCTCTGGGCTCAGCCTGGGCTTCTGAAGGAAGCCAAAAGAGGAAAGGAAGGCTCTGAGAATCAAAGCGATCCTAAAATCAACACATGATCATAACAGGTCACTAAGGGCAGTTGGAGAACCCTCCGTGTTTCATCGATTTGCTGAAGTCTTGAGGACAAGTGCCTCTTCTTGCTCTTTTTCTTGTAAATAACTTACCTGTTCTAATTATCTATCCAGTACTTATCTCTCAGGCAGAGGAGCAAGCAAATCAAGTTTCTGAAGAGATCTGTGCTTTTGAATGACAGATGTGTTCCTTTCTTTCAGTGAGATCACTCACCTTTCTGCATGTAGCTCAGAGGCATAAAATCATTCTCTTTGCTCATTTTCAGAGTGTGGCCTCTAAGCTCAGGGGGAGGAATGGAGGATTTTGAGTAGTAGTTTGGAAGACAAATGCTATCATTAAGTGTAATTTTTACCCCAGTGCCTCTTAAAGGCGAAGCTGCCTAAACTGCCATGTCTCCCGAGCGCCGTGGTTGCGCATTTGATCGCGCTGTTACCCTGGGTTCGTGGAAGGTTGGAAGGTTCATGGAATGAATGGAAAATTCAGCCTCCTCTCCCTTCTTCTCATCTCACTGTTCAGATGAATCGAGGGTGGTGAGAAAACCCTCCTACTTTCTCCCTTTTAATTGTTTCTCAAAGTACAGGATATAATTTCCTACTTTTGCAAATAGAGTCTCCTCGCCATCCTTGACATTCTATTTTGTTGTTGGATCCTTCTGTACTTTAAATAAAGCCCTGTACGGGTTAGTTTTTCATTGGCGAAAATGTAACGAAGATGGTATGAGAGAATGGGCTGCATCTTCCCTGACGTGGGACTGGACGTGAGGTGCCGACCGCGGGCGCATTGGCGGAGCCTGGCTGCTTGGTTATCAGTAGCCGACGTTTGTGACAGCGACCGAGCCGTCTCTGAAGGGTTGTGTGCCGTTGTCCTGTTATCTTCCCGCCTACGGTTGGGGTACTTCTGAATCTGTTGCCTTGCTAAGTATGTTAAATCATAACTATCTTGATCTCTTAAAATAATAAGCTTCTTGATTGCGACCAAGATCTCTACAAGAACTTCCCCTTGCTGATCTCGGAGCGCTGGCAGCAGGAAGTGGCAGAAACAGTTTATGATGCAGTGAATGCGGACACGGATAAAATCGAGGCCAGAAAGAGAGCTAAAAATAAGCAGCTTGGACACGAAGAAGGTAAAATAGCCAGGGTGTCTCAAAATATTTTCAATGCAATGAATTTTTTTAAAAATGTCTTGTAAAGCCGGGAAAGTATTTGGGTCATAAAGTACTTTCCAGGGGTGGCAGGGGGGATGCCCTAACTAGTGGTATGTGGCTTGGAAAAGCTCAGAGTAATATTTCAAAGTCTTCGGTCAACATGTAAATTGAGGTGGTCAGCAGCAGTGTGTCAGTGTGTCCTCTGACCTCGGAGCATCTAGAGCCAGTTGGCAAGTGTCTTCCTTGAAGCCTGAATATTACCGTGCCGGGAACAGGCCCGGCTTCATGGGCATGTGACCTGGGCCACCTCCTAGGGCACCCCACTGGGTTCAACGCTCGCTGTCACTGTCTTGACGTTCTTAATCATGTTTCAACAAGGGGCCTGCATGTTCATTTTTCACTGGGCCCTGCAAAGTATGTGGTAGTTGGCTCTGGTGAGGAACTTAGCATGCGTGTCCCTTGTCCAGAGCTATAAATGGATAGAATGACATTTATTTTACAAACAGCATTGAGGAATTGCCAGACCACATTTTTATTTACAACATGTGAGTGCCCTGTTGGGATTTCCAAAGTGGAGCGTGTAACATCCGGTGTTAAACCAGTCGGCCATTCTTGATTCACCAAATGTTGTCGCCCTCGATTTTCCTAAGATTTTAATGGATCTTGGATATTTAAGTGTACTGTGGTTGAGGACGATGCTATCATTCACTTTACGTCTAGGCAAAGAATTTTCTGAGGTTGTTATATGATACGAGTGACCAACCAGAACCAGTTCCTTTGTGAATAAGTTACTTGAATGGGGGCAGCTTGATGCAGGCTGGTCGGTCGTGCCCATCATTTCTCATTTCCCAGTAGCATTTATTACCTGCTCAGAAACATGTGCCTGCGCCCGGGTGGCTTCCTCCTTACGTAAAAGCTGCCTGAGTACCCCAAGGGAACAGCGTGGCCCCGCAACTGTTCTCACCTCCATTCTGCAGGGAGAGGGGCTTCATTTCTAAGCTGTACCTTAGACAGCATGTCCATTGACATCACTCTGGACTGTTGGCTGTAGCAAATTTTACACGAGAAATTACTTTTTTACGTCAATGGTAGCTTGCTCCGGGGAGGGCCATGATGTCACTAGAATCTTGACAAATTGGACCTAGAAAAAAATAAGTATACCTTAGTGACCTTACCGAAGCGTATCCTTTTAATTAGAGCTGCAGTTAGAGCATCTAGCAAGTTAATGAATTTATCTTCATGTTTAAATGATTGATTTGGACATCACTGGGCTCTTGGTTGAAGATCTCAGGAGTCACCTTACAGAACAATACAGTCTAGGCTTAGGTCTCTGAGGTAAACCTGCAAGGCTTCTACCTTCCATATACTTAAGCCGTGTAAACACTTTTGCATTAAAATGACAACTCTGGGGAGCCCGCCCGATCACCTGTCCCCTCCCTCCTTGGTTCTTTTCCCTCCTGTATGCGGGACAGTGTGGGTATTGCTTATCTGTTTACCGTCTGGGTCTCCTATTAGAACATTAGCTTTCTGAGGGCGAGAGTTCTGTCTCTTGCCATGTAGCACTGCCAAATCCAGAGCGCCCAGAACATGCCCAACACCAGGCATTCCCTGAATAGCTGTGGAATGATTGAGAGAAGGAGTGAATAAATGATTTTTAGCACGGTCTCCAAAGCCTTTAAAGAAAGAAAGCAGAGGCATCCACTCAAAATTAACCTTAAAAAAAAAAAAGACAGTACATAACTCTAACAATATGATCGGGATTCAACATGAGTGCGAATTAGCTCAGTCTGTCTAGGTAACCATATATTTGAGGGATAAATATAGCCTTAAGGAATAAACAGTTTTGAGGCTTATGTTACCTTGGCTGCTTGGTAAGCCCCTTACTATTATTTATGGGATTGAGTGGAGAACCCCAGTCCCACATAAAGGCAAAGGTACTTTGGGCATAGCCTGAATTGAATTCCTCTCTACTCTCCAATTCTTGTTATTACACATAATGAAAAAATAGTTTGGGAACAAACCTCTGCCCTCTCTGAGTGATGAGGGAACATCACGGAATATATCCGAATATTGAGAAACAGCCACTCAATATGTTAGTGGAGACCTGTTCTTTCGATCCCCAGCTCATCTGGGTCTCAAAACTGAGGTAAGGATTTGCATAATGTCCTCCATTCATAGAAATTTGATTTTTCCAAAGAGTGTGTCATTCTTTTTTGTTTGTTTCTGAAAAGAACATAGACCATCTGTGTCCGAGCCCATTTAATTTGCGGTTCATTTATATTGCTCAGATTACGCTCTGGGAAAGGACTGTATCATGCACGGGTACATGCTGAAGCTGGGGAACCCGTTCCTGACTCAGTGGCAGCGTCGGTATTTTTACCTCTTTCCAAACAGACTTGAATGGAGAGGAGAGGGAGAGTCCCGGGTAAGTCCAGAGCGGCCCACCCAGCACAGACTTGCAGGGTCCTCAGTGTCACATGGCTCATTCGGATGGCTGGCGTGTCTTCTAAAATAGCCCGCTAAGCTCTGGGTATCTATTTAAACTCGTGCACATGAGATTTTGGTGTTCAAACTCTAACTTTTAAACTTAGAGTCAAAGAAGGATTTTGTAACATCTGAAAATAGAATGTGAGGTCAAAACAGGTTTGAAGGAGGCTGGAGAGTAGTCGGGGAGATCAAAAGAGATAAAAAAACGAAAAAAACAAAAAAACAAATCCAGGACATTGGAGTCAGACAGAGGTGATTGAATCCAGGACTCAGAGAAGGTCTGGCGTCCACGACACAGCACGACAGTTGTGGGTCTGCCTGTGCTCAGTCTCCCCTTCACATGGCCCCCCCTCTCCCCGGTCAGGCTCAAATGAAATGAGCTAAGTGATGCTGGGCCCAGAGCTGAGGTCGCCAAATGCTTCCTTTGGTCTCCGCTTTGTTGGAAGAGTTTAAGTAATGTCCATAGCATGGGCAGGAAGATACCACTACCCCCTCAGGTCCTTTCTCAAGGGCCAGTGTTTGTGAACAAGGTAAGAAGACATTTCGAATCCACACTGTCCCTCGAAGCCAGGCAGGTAGCCTTTATTCAGTACCTGCTGTGTGGGGAGTGGAGGGCTCATCCAGAGGTGGCCACCCAAGCAGAAGGCATACTTCTGCTCTTGGGGATGGAATGGCTAGTCCTCTGGGGCCAAGGAAGCAGGGCAGTGGGTTCCAAATGTCAAAAACACAGTTGATGTCTTAGATGTGTCAGAATACTGCCCATCAGTTGTCTGGTGGTGAGAAGTGTAGAAAGTAATAACCTCTAATCTTGTTTGTTCGATTTTGGAATGTGTTTTTTAAATCCCCATTGGTAAAGGGGTGCCTGGGTGGCTCAGTCGGTTAAGTGTCCAACTCTTGGTTTCGGCTCGGGGTCATGATCTCAGGGTCGTGGGATCGAGCCCCATGTCGGGCTTCACACTCAGTGCGGAGTCTGCTGTCCCCTCTGCTCCTTCCCCCCACTTGCATGCTCTCTCCCTCTCTCAAATAAGTAAATAAAATCCTTGAAAATAAATAAATAAAAATCATAAATCCCCATTGGTAAAGTTGCTATTTAATTATGAGTGATTGCTACTGCACAGCACATTCTTTTCAGATAAATAAGACTTCTCACCATTGCTAGTGCCATGGGAGTCATTTCCTCAAACTAATGCATCTAGGCTCTGAATTGCTATTAATAAGTCTCTTTGGGGATCCTGAGTTGTAACTCAGGTGCTGGTATTATATAATATAATGTGTAATATTATATACTATATATTGTATTTTATAAATATATGAACTCAACACACAAATTATAATCCATATATATTATTATTATTATAGAATATATAATATTTCCAGGGCGCCTGGGTGGCTCAGTTGGTTGAGCGACTGCATTCGGCTCGGGTCATGATCCCAGGGTCCTGGGGTCAAGCCCCACACCGCGCTCCCTGCTCCACGGGGGGCCTGCTTCTCCCTCTCCCACTCCCCCTGCTTGTGTTCCCTCTCTCGCTGTGTCTCTCTCTGTCAAATAAATAAATAAAATCTTCAAAAAAAAATCACAAGGAGAAGAAAAAATACATTTACCGAACTGTACTGTATTTACGGGGAAAAAAATCCCTGTAGAAGTGGAACCACACAGGGGCGCCTGGATGGCTCAGTCGTTAAGCATCTGCCTTTGGCTCAGGTCATGATCCCAGGGACCTGGGATCGAGCCCCACGTCAGGCTCCTTGCTCTGCAGGAAGTCTGCTTCTCCCTCTCCCACTCCCCCTGCTTGTGTTCCCTCTCTCACTGTTTCTCTCTCTGTCAAATAAATAAATAAAATCTTAAAAAAAAAAAAGTGGAACCACTGGACAGTCACCGTGGTGTGCATTGAAAGAAAGTTAATCTTGCTTTTCAGGATATTTGAAAACTTAGAAAATCTTCCTTTTTTTTAAACATCGGATGCAGTAAGGTAGCTTGGTTTTTTTCTTTTTTTTAAGATTTTATTTATTTATTTGACAGACAGCGAGAACACAAGCAGAGGGAGTGGGAGAGGGAGAAGCAGGCCTCCCACCGAGCAGAGAGCCCAGTGCAGGGCTCTATCCCAGGACCCTGGGATCATGACCTGAGCCGAAGGCAGACGCCCAACGACTGAGCCACCCAGGTGCCCCGGTAGCTTGGTTTTAAAAGTCAGCATTCAATGTTCTGTTTGAGAGCTGCCTAGTGTATATGGATGGATGGATTCATAGGTATAAATCAGGAAACAGAAAAATGAGCATTTATGATGGTGGTGCTTTTCATTTAGGAGTCCTAGAGTATCCAAAAAAACATAAAATGGTAAGGTACTCACGACACTATAGCTCTCACCACAAGCAATCATGTTCTAGACCTGGCGTGACCATCTTTGAAGGATGTCGCCTGTATTTATAACATCCTTTTGATATCATCCTTTCGAAATATCCTTAGCTCGCCAGCCAACATGGCCAGACCTTTCCCGAGCTGCCGTGTCAGGCACTCGGTCGCACCCCATCGGCTCATGTACCTTGTACAGCACTTCGCTGTTTCCTCCCAACTCGGTCGATAGCACTGAGGCGAGCGTGCGACACAGAAGGGACACGTGCGAGTCACAACCATTCACAAGTGGATTCTGTGTCGCGGGAACAGCTGTGCTCTCGTCTTGCAGAGACAGTCCGTCCTTCGCCGTTTCCTTCAGATGCCATCATTTGAATTCTGTGCATGTCCCTTCCTAGCCATTCCCCCACTCTTCTAGAACATCATCAAAGAAAGGGAAAGGCTGATTTTTTTTTTAACTTTTCCTAAGCTGATAGTTTTCTGGATTGTTTATTACTTCAACTTAGGAAATCAGGAGATAATGTGAAGTAATGTATCATTTTTTTTTTTTATGGCTAGCAAAATTTACTGACAATGGAACAGATTCTGTCCGTGGAAGAAACTCAGATTAAAGACAAAAAGTGCATTTTGTTGAGGATAAAAGGAGGCAAGCAATTTGTCTTGCAATGTGAGGTGAGTTTTTCAGGTTTTTAAAATAACTTTTTCCCCATGAGCAAAAGTTCGAGCAACTGTGTGCGTCTCCTGCAAACACAGCTGCCTGGGTATGGAGCAGCTTCTTGAATCTGTGCTTTGTAGCTTAGGTAGCAGGAAAGCCCCAGGGCACAAGGGTCTCAGCAAATTAACCATTACTGTTACAGGATCAAATGTCAGAAAATGGCAGGAGAGGAGGTACATGGAATAATCTGACTGCCCTATCTGGGAACTCTGATCAGTATTCAGTAGGGGCCTTTTAGCTAGTCTCCCAGTTCTTCTCTTTCAACATGTTCGAGGTTGGGGCTTGCATGTCTAAATAAATAAACACAAGATACCAAAGTGACTTCTCTCAGGGGACATGCCATCTTTCTGACTTCAAAGTTCTATTGTAGCCCAAATTTAATTCCTCTGGGGTACTGGTGTGTGTGTGTGTGTATGTGTGTGTGTGTGTGTGTAGGGTGTGTGTGTGTGTCCATGTGGGTGGGGGTATGTAGGGTGTGGGTGTGTATAGGATGTGTGTGTGTCCATGTGGGT